TGCTGTGAATATCCTTGTACATGTATTTGTTTAAGTATCTGTTGTCAATTCTTTGAATATGTACCTTGAAGTACAATTGCTGGGTCATAGGGTAATTCCATGTTTGATTTTTTTGAGAAGCCACCAAACAGTTTTTTAACAATGGTTGCCCCATTTTGTATTCCATCAGCAATGTACAAGAGTTCCAATTTCTCTAACTCCTTAGTAATACTTACTGTTTTCTGGGTTTTTTTGGTTGTTGTTTGGTTTTGGTTTTTTAATTATAGCAATCCTAGTGGGTTTGAAGTGGTATCTCATTGTGGTTTTGATGTACATTTCCCTAATGACTAGTGATGTTGAGCATCTTTTTATGTGGTTGTTGCCCACTGGTATATCTTCTTTGAAGAAATATCTATTTAAGTCCTCGACCCATTTTTAAACTGAGTTGCTTGTATTTTTTTGTTGAGCTGTAAGAATTTTTAAAAATATACCTGATACCAGGCACTTAGCAGATATATGAGTTGCAAATGTCCCATTATTTAGTTGTCTTTTCACTTTCTTGGTAATGTCCTGACATAAAAGTTTTAAATTTGGACACAGTCCATTTTACCTATTTTTTCTGTTATTGCTTGTGCTTTTGGGACCATCTGTAAGAATTCATTGCCAAATCCAAAGTGATAAAAATTTACCTTGATGCTTTCTTCTAAGAGTTTAGTAGTTTTTGTTCCTGCATTTAGGTTTTTTTGTTTTGTTTCGGTTTTGTTTTTTTTTGAGATGGAGTCTCACTCTGGCTTTGTTGCCCAGGCTGGAGTGCAATGGCATGATCTTGGCTCACTGTAATCTCTCTGCCTCCTGGGTTCAAGCCGTTCTTCTCTCTCAGCCTCCCAAGTAGCTGGGATTACAGGCATGCACCAGCATGCCCAGCTAATTTTTGTATTTTTAGTAGAGACAGGGTTTCACCATGTTGGCCAGGCTGGTCTTGAACTCCTGATCTCAGGCCATCCACCTGCCTCGGCCTCCCAAAGTGCTGGGATTTACAGGTGTGGCCCACTACACCCAGTCTTTTTTTTTAATCCATTTTGAGTTACTTTTTGTATGTGGTGTGAGGTAGGGGTCCAAAAAGTATCATTCTTTTGGATGTGGATATCCAGTTTTCCCAGAACCATTTTTTGAAAAGATTACTTCTTCTCCATCGAATGGTCTTGGCACCCTTGTTGAAAATCAATTGTCCATAGATGTATGGGTTTACTTCTGGACTCTAAATTCTATTCCATTGATGTTTATCTCTGTCCTTATGCCCATACCACACACTCTTTTGATTAGTGTAGCTATGTAGTAAGTTTTGAAACTGGAAGCTGTGAGTCTTCCAACTTTGTTATTTTTTCAGTATTATTTTAGATAATCAGGACCCCTTGCAATTCCATATGAATTTGAGAGGATCAACTTTTCCATTTCTGCAAAAAAAAAAAAAAAAAAAGGCATTGGAATTTTTATAGGAATTGCATTGAATATGCAGATCACTTTGGGTAGCATTGCTGTCTTAATATTAAATATTCTAATTTTCAATAGATGAATATGAGATATCTTTTCATTTATTGATGTCTTCTTAACTTTCTTCCAGCAATGTATTGTAGTTTTCAGTGCACAAGACTTTCACCTCCTTAGTTAAATTTATTCCTAGATATTTTATTCTTTTGGATGCCATTATAAATGAGACTGTTTTCTTAATTTCCTTTTTGAATCATTCTTGCATGTCCACTATTAATTTGTACTGAAATCTTCTAAGCTTTTCATTAACTTGTCACTTTGTAATTGTTCTTAAGTCATAAATTACCCAACAATATCAAAAATATTTAGTATTTAAGAATATCACCAACTTCTGAGCACAATTCTTTTTTCTCTTTCTTATTACATCAGTACAGTGTCCTCTTTACTTATAGGTATTCAGTAAGCTCTTAATAATTTACCAATTTTTATTCATTATTTATTTTTATGTATTTTTAAATTTTAGAGTCAGGGTCTTTCTCTGTCGCCTAGGCCAGAGGGCAGCAGCACAATCATAGCTCACTGCAGACTCAAACTCCTGGGGTCCAGTGAGCCTTTCCCCTCAACTTCCCAGGTAGCTAGGACTACAGGCATGTACCACCATGTCCAGCGAATTTTTAAGTTTTTTGTAGAGATGGAATCTCTGTATGTCACCCAGGCTGGTCTTGAACTCTGGGTCTCAAGTGATCCTCTGCCTCGGCCTCCCAAAGTTCTGGGATTACAGATGTGAGCTACCACGCCCAGCCCTTGATTCATTACTTTAGAAAATGCAAAATCATATCATCTAAATATCTATCCATGCTTGCTTTCTATTCCTATTAGCATTGCCTTAGGCAGATGCAGTTTCTCCCTATGGGATTTTCAGGTTTTTTAATATTGTCTCTTCTTCCTTCCTAAATCTTGATGGTAATTTGTTTTTGCAGTCTGGATCAAGATCAAGATTGCTGCAGGCTACCTCAACTTCTCTTTGGTTCACCCATGCTGCTCTTAAGGGAGAAAGACAGAAAGGGTTCAGGTTCAGTTATTAAAATACCTCTTCTGTGAAGCTTCCCCTAGACTGATTATTGAAAAGCTAAAGCTAATTACCTCTCTTTTTTATCTCATTTGCATGAAATTGTAATCTCTCCAGCATCGTATCTAATTATGTACTCACTCTTGCCTTAATTAAACTGTATTTAAAATCACAGAATTAGAAGTTGGAGGGGACGTTAGGAATATAATGCAGACTCCTGGTTAAATGTGGTCGAATGAGCACATTCATTACCGCTGATGCCTAGCCAAAGTCTTCTAAAATGCCAATATATTCAAAATGCATAAACCCACAAGGACAAAGAAACTGGGTAAGAAGATGACAGTGACTACACTTTAAGAGTTGTAAAGCAGATGGAAAGGTGGAAACTGACCTAGCAGAGTCATTAACCCATTAAACTATGAATGAAAGAAACTCAGAGCAAGCCAATTCCCAGAACTGCAGAAAAGCTTGGGTATTCGAGGTGCTAGGTATCTCTGAAACGGGAAAAGTGACTGAAGAAAAAAAATAAAAAAGCCATAGATGAGGGCAGGGATGCTTTACAGAAAGTGGGACTTAAACGAAAGCCAATATTAGACAGTGACAACCCAGCTCACTCCTCCAACTCAACTCTGAGAATACCGCAACCAAGCTTACCCTCTTCAACCCACAGGAAACTGGAAAATTCCTCTTTGGGAAGATGTTCCACCCCAAGAGCAGGGAAAACCTTCCAAGCTTAATAAGATCATTCTACACTGATCAGTCCACCCTCCTGCTCTGCCTCACCTCTGGTGTTGGTCTCACTGTTCTTTTTATAGTTTAATTTATTGTGGTAAGAACACTGAACATGAAATCTACCCTGTTAACACACTGTTACATGTACAATATGTTTTTGTTGTCTATAGGCACATTGTCATGCTACAGATCTCAGAGCTTATTCATCTTGTATAACTGATACTTTATGCCTGTGATTGGTCACTGGCCTATAAAGGATCACCTTCAGACAATAAAGGAATTTCTCCAGCATGAAGGACAGAATGAACAAAATGGAACTCAGAGGAAATCAAAGCAATGGAGTTGGCAGGAAAATGTGTTTAAAAAATACCTACTGTCTGTTCTCGTTGCTGGGAAAAGATATCATATCTCCCCTCTCCGCAAAGAAAGGAGGCTTTAAAAAGGAGCACTGAGAAGAAAAGAGACCCTTATAAGTGGAAAATGCTATAGTAGAAAAAAAAATTCAACAGAAGGGAAGGAAAATAAGACAAGGAAAATAAAGTGGTTTCTGAGGACTGAAGCCACATAGTTTACTGTTTAAATTTACAAGACATTACTCTTTCAGTCTCTTCACAAATAAAACTTTATTATAAAAGGGACCTCTTTCATGAGGCAATAAAAGAAGCAAATAACCTTGTTTATTCTGGGATTTATTTCCCCCAGAACCTGTTAAAATAAACTGTCCAATTTACCAATAGACATCATCAAGTGACAGTTTACATTTTTTTTTTTTTTTTTTTTTTTGAGACAGGGTCTCTTTCTATTGCCCAAGCGGGAGTGCAGTGGCATGATCATAGTTCACTGCAACCTCCAACTCCTGGACTCAAGTGATCCTCCCTCCTCAGTCTCCTGAATAGCTGGGACTACAGGCATGCATCACCATACTCAGCTAATTTTTTTTTTTTTTTGGTAGAGACAGGGGTCTCACTGTGTAACCCAGGCTGGTCTCAGATGCCTGGGCTCAAGTGATCCTCCCTCAGCAGTCTCTCAAAGTGCTGGGATTACAGGCATGAGCCACCAAGACTGGCACCAACACTCTTTGAATCCATCACCTCAAAATCCTTGCTGTGTCCACCAACTCTAAACTATTATCCTTATCCAATTCTGATCAAGCCCTAGCATTGAAAGACCTGACTTAAACCAGACTTCAAAACTTCATAAATATGTCAACTTTTCCCTGCCCCTTCTGAGAGGCTACTAAGACTCTGTCAAGTTAGTGTTCTTCCTTACTGCCATAGGAATAAAGTTGTCTTTGTTTAATCAGTGGGTTGTTTTAATGATATTTTGGTGGAGCCAAAAGTATTACCTTTCAAAACTTAGTACAAAAAGACATAATGGGAGATAGAAGAAAAAAGAAAAGCAAGTTGAAAGATCAGAGATCTAACATCTGAATAATATAATAGAAATTTCAACAAGAGAAAGAGAAAATATTGGGAAGAAAAATACTAAAAGAAGTAATTTGAGAAAATTTCCCAGATCTGAAGGCCATAAATTTCTAGAGTACAGGGCATGATGAAATCAAAGGAGACCCACACCAAGGTTAAAATCATTGTACAATTTCAGAAATGTTGAGAGATTATAGAAAGTTGAGGGAAACTGCTTGGTTGCCTGCAGATTAAGATTATTGCCACCAGATGGCAAGAATTCCTCAAAGGCTTTAAGACTGAGATTTTTGTTTCATTTTCTTCTTCAGATCTTTCCAACGCATTAGAAAGAGAATTCTCATTTGGCTTCTCTCCATCTAGTCTGGCTCCATCAGAGATCTGACTGTTTTCTTCCTAAACGACTCTGCTAGAAGGTCACTATATAATCAACCTGGAGGAGTAAGTACATTCTCTTTGAGGAATTGACTCATGTGGCTTTGAGGTTAAAAGAAAGACTTTTAAGAGAATGGACTCTGGACTACAGTTGTCTATTGTGAACAGAAGGACTTCTGTCATGCAGGGATTCCACAATGCATTCGTTCATTCATTCATTCATTCATTCTTCCAACAAGTTTTACTGATGCTGACTATATGCTGGGTACTGTGTTAGGCACTAGGAATAAAACTTCAGTAAAAGAAAATCAGACATGGACTTTGTCTTCATGGAGATTAAATTCTGAGGAGAGAAACATTCCATAAACGTGTATATATACACGTTTTTAGTAGAGACAGGGTTTCACCATGTTGGCCAGGCTGGTGTTGAACTCCTGACCTCAGGTCATCTGCCCACCTGAGGGCATTTACATATATAAACGAATGTATGTAAACATACATTTACATATATAAACAAATGTATGTAACTACATACATACATATATATTTAAATAAATTGTGATGAGTGCTATGATGAGCTAGGTATGTGGAGAAAAAGAGGCCTATTAGGTATCTGAGGAATCTGATGGATTCCTGTAAGAGTGGAAGTAAGCAGGTCAGCTAGGAAGCTATTGCAGTTTTCTAAGAGGGAGATAAAGATGACTTGGATCAGGGTGATGCCAGAGGAAAGAGAAGTAGATGAATTCAAGAGAAGTTGGAGGTAGAATTGACAGGACGTAGTCATTAGATCTGAGAAGTTAGAAAGCAGATGCATTAAAGATGACTCCCAAGTCGCTGGATGAAGCAAGTGGCTGGGTTGATGGGGTTGCCATTTTTTGAGGTGGAGAAAGCCTGGGGAGGAAGAAGTTTTGGAGGAGGGGATGGTGGATAGACTCAAGAGTTCAGGGGCCTGGTGCTATAGCTCACACCTGTAATATCCCAGCACTTTGGGAGGCCAAGGTGGGCAGATCACCTGAGGTCAGGAGTTCAACACCAGCCTGGCCAACATGGTGAAACCCTTTCTCTACTAAAACTACAAAAAAGTAGCTGGGCATGGTGGCACGCACCTGTGGTCCCAGCTACTTGGGAGGCTGAGGTAGGAGAATTGCTTGAACCCAGGAGGCAGAGGTTGCAGTGAGCCGAGGTCACACCACTGCACTCCAGCCTGGGTGATACAGTGAGACTCTGTCTCAAAAAAAAAAAAAAAAGAGTTCAGGGTGGCATGTTAATTACATTGGCCTTTTGTTTGGATACCACTGGTCCAGGCTAGAATGGATTTTGCTCTGATCTACTGTGTAATAGAATGACTTGGCCTGGTTTATTTGGTTTAAATTGGCTCACAATTATCATTCATTAAGTTAAAAATTGTTGTTAACACAGTGGCCCTATAGAGCAATAGGAAAATCAACTTACATTTGTACCATCTTTTCTGATGTGGGCATTTGAGAGTTAAAGATAACTGTCCAGGCTCACGCCTGTAATCCTAGCACTTTGGGAGGCCAAGGTGGAGGGATTGCTCGAGGCCAGGAGTTTGAGACCAGCCTGAGTATCACAGGGAGACCCCATCTCTACAAAATATTATAAAATTAGCCAGGCGTGATGGCACACACCTGTGGTCCCAGCTACTCAGGAGGCTGGGAGGTGGGAGGCTTGCTTGAGCCCTAGAGGCAGAGGCTGCAGTGAGCCATGTTTGCACCACTACACTCCAGCCTCGGCTACGGTGATACCCTGTCTCTAGGAAAAAAAAAAAAAAAAAAAGGAGTGGGCCAGAGCATCTTCTACATTTTTTGTTGCATTTGTTTGCACTCTATTCATAAGGGGCACACAGTCTTAAGGGTAAGAAGCTTCTGGAAAATGCAAGCCCAGTTGTTTTGGTAGATCCTTCTGAACAATTATGCACAGGTAAGATCCTGAGTGTGATTGTGAGGTGGCAGAGAGGAAAACTTCTTCCAGTGACTCTGAAGATAGAGAACATATTTGTCCTATTTTTATCCCCTATATGGTGCTTAATAACATATTTACACAGTAAGTGTTGAATGAAGCTGCTCCACCTGGGTTGTTTTCAGTCTCCAGACCTGAGTTGAACTCTCTGGAGGATTTGAAACCCCTCTTCCCAAAAGCTGATACATAATTAGCTGTGTGCTGGGACAAGGTGCCTCTCTGGACTCACCAGGGCTTAGGACCTCATTTCTGGGGTACTAGGAAAAAGACACTTGTCCCTCCTTCTTCCTACACCCCCTTCCATGGAGGTCTTTTGCCACCATCAACACAGTGTTAAGGCAGAATTTAAAACCAACTTAGCCCTCAACATTGATGTTTTCATTTGTATCCTCAAGGTGGAACAGTTGGTTATGTACTGTGCCCATAATCAGTAGTTACCTCAGTCTTTTTCTTTGATTCATGCTTTGCCTTCTCCTTGTGCCCTACCCTTTTGTTTAGACTATATGCTATTTTGAGGGCAAGAATTGTGTCTTTTTAAATTTCATATTTCCATACGGTTTATTTTTGTCTCTTTTTTTGTAATAAAAAGTGTATATTTTAAGTAGTATATACATAAACACAGTGAAACGATTACTGCAGTCAAGCAAATTAACATATCCATCTCCTCACAGTTACCTTTGTGTGGGTGTGTGTGTTTGCGTGTGTGTATTGTGACAGCACTTGAAATCTTCTGTCAATTTAGAACAGTTCGTTATAGCACTGACAAGGGGAAGGAATGGCCTGGGAGAGCTTTAGCTCCCCGCCACCAATTTTTATAAACTCCACAACCCCCTTCCAGAATCATAATGAATACATAAACAAAAATTTATAATTATCGATAAAAGCATATTTTTGGTTGGGCGCAGTGGCTCACGCCTGTAATCTCAGCACTTTGGGAGGCAGATGTGTGTGGATCATTTGAGGCCAGGATTTTGAGACCAGCCTGGCCAACATGGCAAAACCCCGTCTCTACTAAAAATACAACAAACAAACAAAAAACCCCACAGGTGTGGTGGTGTGCATCTATGGGCCCAGGTATTCTGGAGGCTGAGGCAGGAAAATCGCTTGAACCTGGGAGGCCTCAGAGGCTGCAGTGAGCTAAGATTGCGCCGCTGCCCTCCAGCCTGGGCGACAGAGTGAGACCCTGTCTCAAAAAAAAAAAAAAAAGCATATTTAGAACACACATTATTTACTACGCAGAAGTAGCCTTGAGACAAGTCCTCTAGCTTCCCCTTCCCTCCAGATTGCTACCCCTAGTTTCCCTTGTGAAAATCTGCCACTCCCACTGCTCAGGAAAGTGTTAACAAACTGTTGTTAAGGAACCAGAGCCAATGGCTGGCGAAGGCTGCAGCATTCCTCTGAAAGCGGAGGTTATGTTGTTTTTGTGCTGGTGGCCTGTTCTCTAGATTTGCAGAAGACTCACCCTTAAATAACTTGGGGTTCTTGTTTTCCTGATCCAAAGCTTTTACTTTAACAAGTTATTTGGGGTAATGATATGTCTGAAACCCTCTGAAAAGTTCCCTTTGAACTTTTATCTGAAATGATAAGAAAAAAGTCAGGCTGCACCTGGAATCCAGACTTTGTTTCAAGTTCTTTCAAAACAATGCAGATACGGAATATTTAAACAAACTACAATTCTGGGAAGCTTTTTAAGTGGCAAGTTTTGGTTTTGAGCTTTTGGAGAGGGTAGTTTGGAAACATCATACCACATTTAAGCCTCAATCTAAATAATAAAATGAGTAAAATAGTTTTCCTATATATTATTTTCCCCAGTTCAAAAGATTTTGTCTTAGTCCCAGCTTTTTTCATAAAAATTATAATTGTTTGATAGTAGAGTCAGTTAAAAAACCAAAATATGAGGTTTAAACATTGAAAAGGAGGTGGTAAAATTGTCATTATTTGCAAATGACGTTATCATATATACCTGGGAAGCCTAAGGGAATCAACTTAAAAATTATTAGAAGTAGGCCAGGCGCGGTGGCTCACGCTTGTAATCCCAACCCTTTGGGAAGCCGAGGCGGGGTGATCATGAGGTCAAGAGATTGAGACCATCCAGGCTAACATGGTGAAACCCTGTCTCTACTAAAAATAAAAAAAAATTAAAAAATTTAAAAAAAAGATCCAGGCATTGGTGGCAGGCACCTGTAATCCCAGCTACTCGGGAGGCTGAGGCAGGAGAATCGCTCGAACCCAGGAGGCAGAGGTTACAGTGAGCCGAGATCGCACCACTGCACTCCAGCCTGGATGACAGAGTAAGACTTCATCTCTATTTAAAAAAAAAAAAAAAAAAGAAGAAGAAGAAGTAAGAGGAGCATTCACTAAGGCAGTCATTGCAAACAATACATAAAAATTAATAGTATTCTTATATTCCAACCAAACTAGTTCAAAAATATCACAAGTAAACTTTTTTTTATCACAAATCAAAACAACAACCAACCCTAACAGGAAGTAAGCAGGACCTAGATGAATAAAAACATGAAACTTAATAGAGGACATAAGTGGATTGATCTCATGTCAAATTGTAATCCCCAGTGTTGGAGGAGGGACCTGGTGGGAGGTGATTGGGTTGTGGGGATGGGCGTCACCCTTGCTGTTCTTGTGATAGTGAATGGGTTTTCATGAGATCTGGTTGTTTAAAAGTGTGTAGCACCAAAACCAATTGCAACAAAAGCCAAAATTGACAAATGAGATCTAATTAAGCTAAAGCACTTATGCACAGCAAAAGAAACTATCATCAGAGTAAACTGGCAACCTACAGAATGGGAGAAAATTTTTGCAATCTACTCATCTGACAAAGATCTAATATCCAGAATCTACACAAGAAAACACAACCCATCAAAAAGTGGGTAAAGGATATGAACAGACACTTCTCAAAAGAAGACGGCCAACAAACATGAGAAAAAACTCATCATCACTAGTCGTTAGAGAAATGCAAATCAAAATCACAATGAGATACCATCTCATGCCAGTTAGAATGGTGATCACTAAAAAGTCAGGAAACAACAGTTGCTGACGAGGCTGTGGAGATATAGGAATGCTTTTACACC